CCGGGGGTGGGCGACAGGCAGGGATAGGGGAAGGCAGGGACCGGGAGGGATGTGGGGACAGACAGGGATTGGGGTGGGGAAGGCGGGGATGGAGGGGAGAGGCAGGGATGGGGAGGAGGGAGTGCAGGTCCAGGGACCTGGGTGGTGGGAAGGGAAGCAGGAATTGCGGGGGGGAGGGCGGGAGTCACGCAGAGGCTGGGAAGGCAGGGACCGGGAGAGGAGGCTGGAGAGGGTTGGGGGAGAGAGCGACAAGCGGGGCGGGGGCAGGGGGCGCAGGTAGGGATCCGGGGGGGGAGAAAGGCTGGGAGGAACGGAGGGATGGGGGGAGGCAGGGAGGGAATGCGGGGGACAGGCAGAGATAGGGGGGACAGGCAGGGATGGGGCGGGAGGGGAAGGGGTGCGGGGAGCAGGTAGGGATGAGGGGATCAGGTAGAGAGAGGGGGAGCAGGTAGGCATGGGGGGACGCGAACAGGGATGAAGGAAAAAGAGACCGGGGAGGGAAGATAAGGATCTGCCGCGGGGAGGAAGGCAGGGACGGAGAGGGAGGGGGGGACAGGTAGGGAGCAGGGGGAGAGGACAGCAGGGAGGGAGCGGGGGGAGCAGGTAGGGAGCAGGGGGGCTGCAGGCGGGCGGGCGGGCGGGCGGGCGGGGGGGGGCGGGCAGGCGAACAGGGCCGCCCCCGGCCCCACGTGGCTCGGGGGACACGCGGGTTTATAAAGCGTCCCCGGCCCCGCGCGGGTGCGGGAGCGGCATCGGCACCGGGCGGGAGCGGGGCTCGAACCCTCGGCGCTCGGGTGCGCCCCGGGAGCCCCGGCGGGGCCACGGCAGCCCGCGGGCCATGGAGCTGCCCGTGGATGTGCCCATGGATGTGCCCATGGAGCTGAGCACGGTGCTGCCCTCGGTGCTGCCCTCGGCCGCCGCCACCCCCTGGGGCAACGGCAGCGCCTGGGCCCCCCTGCCCGGGCACGGGGGCAACGAGACGGGCCCGCAGAGGGCCAAGAACGCCACGTCCATCCTGATCGCCATCGTCATCACCGCGCTCTACTCCGTGGTGTGCGTGGTGGGGCTGCTGGGCAACGTCCTGGTCATGTACGGCATCGTCAGGTGAGAGCGGGGCACGGGGGGGGTGGGCACGGGGGGGGTGGGCACCGGGAGCCGGGGCGGGCCGGGGGTGAGTGTGCAGCACCTGCGAGGTGTGAGAGGGCAAGAGGAGCGGGTGGGCACCGGGAGCGGGTGTGCACCGAGTGTGAGACAGCGGCAGGGCTGAGCGTGCAGAGGGGTGAGTGTGCACACCGGGATTGTGGGCGCGCCTCAGGAGTGAGGGTGAGTGTGCGCCAGGGCTGAGACAGCACCGGGACCGAGCGTGTGCCACGTGTGACCCAGCAGCGAAGTGAGGGTGCACGAGGGATGAGTGTGAGTGTGCCCGGGGTGTGAATCTGAGTGTGCCCGGGGTGTGAATCTGAGTGTGCCCGGGGTGTGAATCTGAGTGTGCCCGGGGTGTGAATCTGAGTGTGCCCGGGGTGTGAATCTGAGTGTGCCCGGGGTGTGAGCCAGCGGCTCAGGGAGGGAGGAGGAGGAGGAGGAGAGGGGTGGGCGTGCACCGGGTGCTTGTGAGCAGGCGGCACCGAGATGGGTGTGACAGGTGTGTGACACGCGTGTGTGTCCAAGCACACGCGCGTGTGTGTGTGAGGAGGGGTCCAGGGGCTGTGCGAGGGGTAAAAGCAGAGGCTGTGTGTGCACGGAGCAGCTCGGGGGTTGCAGGGGAGCCGTGTTTGGGGGGACGGCCCGACCCCAGCAGTGCTGAGTGTCCCCTCGCCCGTGTGAGGGAGAGGAGCCGCAGGGCTGGTCGCGCTGGGGGCTGGGAGCTGCTCTGCCCCCCGCAGCCGGGGATGGAGGGGCTGGTGGGCTCCAGCTGGCATCACCCCACTCCGTGAGTGGGAATTACCCATCCAGCCCATTCCCAGCTCCCGCTGGTGCCGGCAGCTCCCGCAGCCGCCTGACTCCTGCTTTGCTCTAACAAAGAGCAGGAGCCGCGTGGCCCGGCCCCGCTCCCACCACGGCCGAGCTGTCCCTGAGCCCCCCGATGGGGGATACCAGCTCCAGTGGCACAGAGACCCCCCCCTCCTGTCCCGGGGGACCCCAAAGCCTCCTTTGGATCCATCCAGGACCTTGGCACCTTTGTTGAGGCTGTCCCTGGGCAGGGAGGGGGGCTGAGGGGTCTCTGCACCCCAGGACAAGCAACAGGACCCCAACACCCCTCATGTTAAAGACAGGGCACTGCTGTATCCAGCCTGGCACTGGTGCTGAGGTACAAAATCTCCTGCCAGACCCTTTGTCCGAGACACTGGTTGGTCCTGCCTGAACAAGAGGGAATATGGGACAATAAAGCTGAGTCCTGCAGAGCACAGGACCAGCACCAGCAGTGGGGTTGGCAGAGCCCACTCCGTGGCCCCCAGACCCCGCTGGCAGTGGAGGACTGGGCTGTGCTCACTGACACACTGCTGTCACACTCTGCACTGGCACAGACTCCAGCACCTCCAGCCTGGCAGGAGGGAGCACAAGGGTCTCACTGGGTGCTGGGCTTTGCAACCCCCCTTCCCACACTGGAGGGGTGTTTTCCTGGGCTTCCAGGATTTGTGGGATTAATCCCAATCACCTCAGGGATTGTTGTAACCCCAGCCTGGCCAAAACCCCGGGGCCAAACCAGAGCCAGTGGCTTTGATGTAAGCAACCCTGCCAAATCCCTACTTTTTAACCATTTCCATGCCCCTTTTCCCATCCCTTTCAGTCCACAGGGATGGTTACAGGAGGTCAGCACAGCCTGGCACTGCCTGTGCACGGGGATAAATGTGGTGACTCACTGGAGGGGAGGAAATGAGCCTGAAACGTGTCCGTGAGCCACTCTGGGCTGACCATCACCCTCGTGAGATCACCCCCACTGCCCCAGCTCCCCACTCTTTGGGTTGTGCTTTCAACCATCCTGCGGGGTGGGTGAGGGGGACAGGGGTTGGGGTGTCATTCCCTGACCTGACACCCGACAGGATTTTTCACCCGCTGGAAGCAGAGTTAAAAATGAGCCCTGGTCTGAAAAAAGCAAACTGAGGTAATTGCAGCAGAGCCAGAGCCACGAGCGGTGTCAGGGTGAGGGATGGGTGTTATTAGACCCCCTCCAGCTGGTTCTGCTCTGCAGGGAGAGGGGAGGGCGTTTTAAAGAGAACAATGTCATGTGCAAACAACATCCTCCCTGTTTTACTCACCGAGTAACCTGAGTCCACTGATCCACAGATCCCATCACCGTGTCTTCTAGCCCCCCCTTTTCCACCTGATTCTGGAATTAAGCACAGAATCATAGAATTATGGAATGGTTTGGGTTGGAAGGGACTTTAAGACCATTCGTTCCACCCCCTGCCACTGTCAGGGACACCTTCCACTATCCCAGGTTGCTCCAGGCCCTGTCCAGCTTGGCTTTGAACACTTCCAGGTATAGGGAATATCTCCCAAGGAATGAATAAACACTGTCCTCCGAGCTCCTGGGTCAGGAGTGGCTGTGGTGACATGCCCTCACCCTTTCCATGGCCAAACCTGCCAGGAGTCTCCCAGGGTTCCTTGGCAGAATTGTTCCACATCAGCAGGGTTTAGGCCAGGACTGGAGATGACCCAGGATGGGGCTGTGAGATGGGATCAGCTCGGGTTCAGACCTCACTGCCAGGGAGATGTTGGTGTTTGCCTTGTGCCATCCTCCTGGTGCCACCTCCCACTGTCTGGGCAGGGTACCTGGGCAGTCTGGAAGCACGACTGGAGCACATCCTGCTGACTCAGGGACCCCCAGGGACCATGCTGAGTGCCAGGAGCAGGCGGACACAGGAACCTGCTCCACAGCTCCCAGCTGAGCTCCATGAACGGACACCCAGCTCAGCCAGACCCCAAATAAACCCCTACCCGGAGCAGCCAAACCCCTCCACACACCGGGAGAGAGCCCAGCACACCCAGCACCCTCCCCACCCCAGCTCTGGCCAGCGCTGCCATTCCCACTGCTTTTAAAAACACCCTTGGAAGCAATTTGCAGCTGCGAGCTCGGGCCTGCGAGTGCCCCCCATCCCTCTGGAGCCCATCAGCCCCCTGCCAGCTCCCACACAGGCTGCAGGGACAGCTGGGCACAGGCTCTGTTAAGCCAGGCTCTGCCAGGCGGGGGCTTTTAGCAGCTCCAGGAGTTTTTTTCTTTCGCTTGTTATTCACTTTTTCTTTCGCTTATTTATTTTCCAAGAGGTTTGGAGAGCGGGGTCCCTCCTTGGGAGTCCAGCCTGGAATGCAGAGCTGCCCTGTGCTTGTTCCATCCCCTCCCTCCCCTCCTCTCCATCAACACCTCCCAGATTGTTCCGTTCAAGTGCGTGGTAACTTCCCAATCAAGGCACTCGCTTAATTACGAAGGGTTTGGCAGCCTGGGGAGCTCCATCAGCAGCAGAGGATGGTTCTCTCTAATGGGGGCAATAAACCTCTTTTCTGCAGCAGCAGCTTCGTTTGCAGCTCGGGGGGGGGTCACCAGGATGGACCCCCCACCCTGTGCAGTGGGTTGGAACCTCAGCCCAAGCCTGGAAGGGGCTGAATTGTGCCCCAAAACCCCGGTGCTGAGGGATAAATTGTCATCCCCATCATCCCAGTTATCCCCATCAGCATCTCAGTCAACCTCATCATCCCAGTCAACTCTTCATCCCAGTTATCTCCATCACTATCCCAGTTATCCCCATCATCCCACTCCTCCTCCTCCTCCTCACCATCCCAGTTATCCCCATCATCATCCCAGTTATCCCCACCATCCCAGTCGTCACTGCTTTGCCCTCACCAGCCCCATCCTGCCCGGGGAGGGGGCAACAGCCTCAGACCCTCCTCTCCCCCACCCCTGGCACATCTGGCAGGGGTTGGGAAGTGCTTACCCAGCACATCTGGCAGAGCACAGAACAAATAACTGATTTTTTTTTTTTTGCCCCATTTTACTCAAAACCCCAGAGCCCAAGGACGTGTGAATGCACCCGAACCGACCGTTCGTTTGCAGGGGAGACAAAACCTGACAGTGCCACAAATTCTCAGCTTTTTTTTGTTTAACCTGGAAGGAAACTTTTCCAAGAGATGCATTTGCAAAAGCGCCCGGAAAATAACACTAAAGAGAACTGAAAAGGACTTTTCAAGGGCAAGACATTTTTAATGCCGTATTTTAAATAAATAAATAAATAAATAAATAAATAACAAAAAAGGAAGCTCAACTCGAATATTTCCACCCTTGGGCAAGGGGCTGCCATTTGCAGCCGTGGTGAAGGAGACAAGGAACACTGTTGGAGCTGGGATGAGCTGCTGTTTTCTATTTTTTTCCCCAGACAGAAACGGGTTTTGCAGCCTCCAGCTCCTGGTCCCCACTGACACGCTCTCCTGACCTGCTGTGAGAGGCAGAAAAGACAAAGGGAAGGGGTTGGGCAGCACCACCAATCCCAATCCGATTTCCATCTCTCTCGTAGGTTCCCTTCAGGGACTGGAAGGCCACAGTTAGGTCACCCCAAAGCTTCTCTTCTTTCCTACACCAACCTGCTGTCCTGGGGGCAGGAAGGGACCTTAAAGTCCATTTTGTTCCACTCCCCTGCCGTGGTCAGGGACACCTTCCACCAGCCCAGGTTTCTCCAAGCCCCATCCAACCTGGCCTTGGACACTTGGGGCAGCCACAGCTTCTCTGGGTGACCTGTGCCAGGGCCTCCCCACCCTCACAGGGAAGAATTTCTCCCTAATACCTGATCCAAATGTGCCCTTTACCAGTCTAAAACTGTCTTACCCCTGTCTGCCCATATAAAAAGTCCCTCTCCATCTATTTTATAAGAACTCCAAGGAAAACCACCTTTTCATCCAGCAGCCAAGGGTTTCTCCCCCCGCTCCCTGACCCCACCCCAGCGATGCCACAGGCAGGTTTAGCCATGCACAGAGATGCTTGTGTGCAAACCCCGTTCTTAATTAATTAGGGTGCATCCAAACGAGCTCGAGGATGCTGAGGATGCTCAGAGCTACGAGGATTTGCTGGAAGGGAGCACAGGGAAGGGCTGGAGCTGCTGGTGTAGCCCTGCCCTTAACCCAGTGAAGAGCCACAGAGCTGCCCCCACCCAACGTGTTGCTCTTTGGGGACCCCCAGCAGACCCCTCAGCATTCACTTCCAACCCACCACAACACTCAGAGCATCCTCTTGAGCAACTCCTGCGGGGCTGGATGCTCCCAGGATGCACACACCCCCATCCCTGCTGCCCTGGCATCCGCCAAAACTTCGCCTCATCCCTTCAGGAACGGTTTGGGCACGCAGGACCAGGCGTTTCTCTTGCCATGATGTGACAAGGACCAGAGCCAGCCCTTGCCAAATGCCCCAGGAGAATCAGCCAGGCTTCCCCAAAGGTTCTGGAGCTCCAGGCTGGCTAATTGGGCTGCTTCCAGATGGCCTGTTTCCGGGGGTAATCGATCCGATTTCTGCAGGGAAGCAGGCTGGATAATCACGGGTTACTGGGTGGAAAATCAGGTGGAGGAGGGTTGGGGGGGATAAAGGACATGGATGCAACTGAGTCAGGGAAACGGAGTAAATTGATCTCTTCGGAGAATTGACTTCTCTGGAAAGTTCTTTATTCCTTTGAATAAAGGCAGGCATGGATTGAGTGCCACCTCCCTGGACGTGGGATGACCACTGTGGCAGGGGCCCAGCCCCATGTTCTGCAGGTCCCAGCTCAGCATGTGGGAGTGTCCCCCCCTACTCAGGCACCAGGATTCAGTGGGTGCCATCCCTGCCTGTGACAGGGGTTGGAACTGCATTGAGCTTTAAGGTCCCTTCCAAACCAAACCATTCTGGGATTCTGTGATTCTTTATGACTTTAACACACACTAAACACAGAACACAGGTGTAGAATCAGAGAATCATGGAATGGTTTGGATTGGAAGGGACCTTAAAGTTCATCTCGTTCCACCCCCTGCCATGGGCAGGGACACCTTTCACCAGCCCAGGTTGCTCCAAGCCCTGTCCAGCCTGGCCTTGGACACTTCCAGGGATCCAGGGGCAGCCACAGCTTCTCTGGGCAACCTGTGCGAGGGCCTCCCCACCCTCACAGGGAAGAATTTATCCCTAATATCCCATTTAACCCTGCCCTCTGGCAGTGGAAAGCCATTCCCCCTTGTCCTGTCACTCCAGGCCCTTGTAAATAGTCTCTCTCCTGTAAACAGTCCCTCTCCATCTCTCCTGTCAGCTCATTCAGGCACTGAAAGGCCACAATTAGAACACCCTGGAGCCTTCCCTTCTCCAGGCTGAACAATCCCAATTCTCTCAGTGTTTCCTCACAGCAGAGCTGCTCCATCCATCCCTCTGATCAGCTCCGTGGTCTCCTCTGGACTCACTCCAGCAGCTCAGTGTCCTTCCTCACCGTGCTCCCTGGGGCACCTGGAAGGGCTCTGAGCACCCCGATGCTGCAGAAAGGTCCCATCACGACACGTCCCCGTGCCCCCTCCTCATCGTGTCGAGCGCCCTGACCCCCTGTGGCCTCTCCCTTCCCCAGGTACACCAAGATGAAGACAGCCACCAACATCTACATCTTCAACCTGGCGCTGGCCGACGCGCTGGCCACCAGCACGCTGCCCTTCCAGAGCGCCAAGTACCTCATGGAGACCTGGCCCTTCGGGGAGCTGCTCTGCAAGGTTGTGCTCTCCATTGACTACTACAACATGTTCACCAGCATCTTCACCCTCACCATGATGAGCGTGGACCGCTACGTCGCCGTGTGCCACCCGGTCAAGGCCCTGGACTTCCGGACGCCGGCCAAGGCCAAGATCATCAACGTCTGCATCTGGGTGCTCTCCTCCCTCATCGGGGTGCCCATCATGGTCATGGCGGTCACCAAGACAAAAGGCAAGTGGCTTTTCGGGGACATGTCCCCTCCTGTCCCATCTGTGCATCCCAGGGGTGATCTGGTGAACTTGACACCCGGCCCTGTAGCAGGTTTGGGGGCAGTGTGGGCACCTCTCTGTGGGACCATAAGTGTGCCATGTTGTGGAAAAGGCATCATGGTGTTAGTTTTCCACCTTGGAAACCATCCCAGAAATTGCCTTCCCTTCCCCTTAAGGCTGGGACACCACACCCTTCCCCATCTCCAGTCCAACCAGTGCCTCTGCCCCGCTCCTGGGGTGCAAACTGGTTAAAGCATGGTGCCAGTAATGCCAACCACTGAACCAAGGGCTCAACTCCCATGCTGGCCATTCCCTTAAGAGTTGGACTTGATGATCTTCGTGGATCCCTTCCAACTCAGAATATTCTATGAATATCTGAAATCAGGTTCCTAAAAACACCCCTGGTAGTGCTGTGAAGTCCCCAGCTGGCCCACACTGAGATGTGCAGTTCCCAGCCCTTGGCTGCTGGGAAAGTTCTGGGCATCCCGAGGAAGGGGACAGTAGAAGGTGACATGGGGATGTGTCCACCACAGGGGTTGGGAGGATGCAGCATGGGGATGGCCCAGGAGGCTCTGCAGGGAAGAGGTCACTGCACCCCCTGTATCCCCTCAGCACCCTAAGTGGGCTGGTGGCTCTGGGGAGCCTCTGCCAAGAGCTGGCAGGTGGGAATGCATCTCCTCGAGGTTTCAACATGCCCAGCCACGACCAGAAGGCCAAGTATCCAGAGCAGAGCCTCCCCCAGCTCCCTCCCTGACCCTCCTCTCCCCCGCAGACGGGATGGTGCTGTGCACCCTGCAGTTCCCCGACCCTCCCATCTACTGGGACACCGTCACCAAGATCTGCGTCTTCATCTTCGCCTTCCTGGTGCCCATCCTGGTCATCACCATCTGCTACGGGCTGATGATCCTGCGCCTGAAGAGCGTCCGCCTCCTCTCGGGCTCCAAGGAGAAGGACCGGAACCTGCGGCGCATCACGCGCATGGTGCTGGTGGTGGTGGCCGCCTTCATCATCTGCTGGACCCCCATCCACATCTTCGTCATCGTCTGGACGCTGGTGGACATCGACAAGAAGAACCCCTACGTGGTGGCCAGCCTGCACTTCTGCATCGCCCTGGGCTACACCAACAGCAGCCTCAACCCCGTCCTCTACGCCTTCCTGGACGAGAACTTCAAGCGGTGCTTCCGGGAGTTCTGCCTGCCCTTGCGAGCCCGCGTGGACCAGAACAGCTTCTCCCGCGCCCGGAACACCACGAGGGAGCGGGTGTCCACCTGCACGCCCTCGGAGGCCCCCAACAAGCCGGCATGACTAGGCGTGGGCAGCCCCCAGCGGGGCTGCCAGGGACGCGGAGGGGACGACCTGCGCTCGGAGGTCACCCAGGTCACCACCACGGAGTTCTGAGCAGAGCGGTGGCACCGCTGGGTGACGCCCCGGGGGTCGTGCCCACAATGACTGCAAAGACTTTGGTCATCCCGGAGAAGCGGGGTGGGGGAACTGGGACTCGCCAAGAGGAGTAAGGAGAGGATCGGGACAAGAGGCAACCTGGGCAGAGCTGCTCTGCTGCTGCTCCCACCTCAACCAAGGCCACCCAACAAGGGCTGTCACCCTCCCAAACGTGGCTCTCTGCAGAGCCCAGGACACCAGGACTGCACTGTCCATGTGCTTCACCTCCTGGGCCGAGGTGGCACCATAACCCATGGCAAGAGGGCAAACGCTCCCGTCGCATAAGGGGGCTGTGCCAGGGGGTGATTGTAGGACCATGGAATCATTCAGGTTGGAAAAGCCCTCTGAGATCGTGGAGTCCAACCATTCCCCCAGCACTGCCAAGGCCACCACTGACCCATGTCCCCGAGTGCCACATCCACATGGCTTTTAAATCCCTGCAGGGATGGGGACCACCACTGCCCTGGGCAGCTGTGCCAGGGCTGGACAACCTTTTCAGTGAAGAAATGTTTCCTAATATCCAGCTTAAACCTCTCCTGGTATGACTTGAGGTTGTTTCCTCTGCCAGATCATGGGACCATCCCTCTCTGAGCTGTGTCCAAAAAAACAACCAGAGTTGGGAAGAGAAAATGATGCCGCTTCAGAGACTGTAATTAAAGAGCTCCAGCTCCACACCTGGAGTCCTTCAATCTGGGACTGCTCCCAGAGAAGAACTTTCTATCATTAATGTCACTAATCTGTTATTTAGAGACCTCTGACTGCAACCAGGGCAGCCCTGGACATGGGTGTGATGCTGGGAATATGGATACAGCCAGGGCACACCTGAAGCTCACCCTGTACCATGTGCCAATGCCAAATTCCCCATGCCCACTGTCCATCAGGGTGACAGCGAACTGATGAAGATATTAAGCCTGAGAAGAACCTCATTAAGGGAGCAATTTGTGGGGACTCGAGTTGCTTCTCGCAGTGCTAAAGCAATTAGGATGGAATAACAGGCAGTGCCAAGGGCTCTCCCTTCCCTGCCCATCAGGAGAAGGATGAGCAACAGCACTGCCCAGATTTCCATAGCAGAGCCAAAAAGGATAGGATGGGTTTGTGTTATTTTTTTTTTTTGGGAGAAGATGAAAAAACTACCCCCTTCTTTTACCTTTCCCCAAGCAGGCACAGTGGCTGTGCAGGCACCGAGAAAGGACCCCCAGCCTGCAAGAGGCAGAGATTTGGGGGTTTCAGCTCTCATCTGGATGGAGCAGCATCCCCCCAGAGGCATGGGGATACCTGTGATGCAGCTCCCATCACATCCTGCAGGAACCACCGTCCAGGAACCTCTGGACCACATCACCTGCAGCTGAACCATGACTGACGGGTCCTCCTGCTCCCTGAATCCCCCCGTCAGCCCCGCGCCACATCCCTGAGCCACCACTTTTCCTTGCTGTCCCCCTTCCCACCGTCATTGCCAGGCAGTCAGACGGCCCTGGGAGGAGGAGGGGGATGCTTGGAGGAAGCAGGAATGGCAGTGACTGGACAAATTGGTGCAGCTGGAGGAAGCAGGCGAGCGCTCAGGGCACCTGGGGCTCGTGGGCTGGAGGCAGAGCCTTTCTTGTGTCTGGTTTCTCCAGTTGCATCAATTTAGGCTAATAACGGCCATTACCTCTCCTCAGCAGCCCCACCTTTCTCCAGAGCCTGTGGAAATTGCAGCCTTCCCTGTTAGGAAGACATGAGACAGCCAAAACCAATTTCTTTTTCAAAGGAATCAAATAGGGTGAAATTGCCCATTTGGGTCTCAAATTGACTGTGCCGGAGGATCCTCCTCCTCTGCCTGCACCCTGTTAACCTGCCACAGGCAAAAGCCTCTTGCTCAGTGTTACATCCACCTGGACATCTCCAGCTCATGCCCAGGGCTCCTCAGGATCCCTCTGCAGGCACAGATGGATTCCTGGATCACTGGCTTGGGTTCCTCACCCTCTGCTGCCACAACTCGTGGAGCATCAGGTGAGGGAAAGCCAGGTCAGCTCCAGGGCAGGAACTGGGGGGAAACCCCCAAGGTCCCACAAAGCTGAGCTTCAGCTCCTTGAAAAGAGAGACTGAAGTGTCCAGAGGATTGGAGACCATCCTTTAGCTGTCCACCCCCACCCACCCCCAGGGCAGAACCCTCAGCAGCCTGTGGTGGGAAAGGTTTGGAGCTGGTTGATGGCGAGCACTTGACCATGGTGGGATTTCAGGATGTCCCCACCAGGCTGGACATCCCACGCTGTGGAGCAGGACATCTCAGGGTTCTCTCCTGGCTTGAGCATGAAACTGAATTCCAGCTTGATATCTCAATTTGGGGGGCACCCCTAAAAAAACGTGGTGACCCTAAATCAGTGATCTCTTCAACCCTCCAGTGCCTCAGTGCTCCCTAAAATCCAACCCCGGGATCAAGGCTGGGAATGGCACAACGGAGAGCAGCTTTTCCCACCACAGGGAAGGAACAGGGACACAGGGAAGGCGAATCCTGCCATCAGGGATGAGGCACCTCTGCCCTGGTGCAGCCCCTCCGAGGACATGTCATGGTGTTGGGGGGATGAGTGAGCCCCCCACGAGTGCTGGGGCCCGTGGGCTGCCCTGAGGCTCCAAAGGCAGTTCAGCCCCCCCATTTCCTGTCCCCACGGGGCCTTTTTTCCATCTGCCGAATTCCCAGCCTGCTGGGAAACGTGCCTGCCGTGGCCTTAAAGCGGGTTAAGAGGCTCCAAGTCATTTATTTTTTAAAATGCCACAGTGCTTGGGCAGAGCTCTGAGCCCAGGACACAGCGAGGAACGTGGCTTTCCTGAGCTCCGGGTTTGCTGACTGAAAGAAAACCAGAATATTCCCGGGAAAAACGGGACATGGGCGGAGAGCACCGCGCTGGGGCACGTGGGGTGACATGTGGATCTTGAGCATCCCGAGCTGGCAGCAGCCCAGCAGGGATCTGGGGGCTGATCCAGCTTCTCCCCCTCCCAAAAACGCAGCTGCTCCAGCCCCTCGTTCGGGCTGGGAAACTGAGGACAAATCCTGGCCCAGGGAAACACCACTGGGATGCTCAGAGGGAGCTCTATGTGTACTTATATAAATATATCTGTATGTATATGTGTCTATAGGTGTATGAAGTCAAAGTGACCCCGAGGCCCCCCCACCCCACCCCCTGCTACAGCAGCTGCCCCGTGTGTGATGGAGCTGAGTCCACCGGGTCCACAGCACCTCACAAAGTGCTTCAGCCACTATTTCCAGCTCCAGCCCTCGGGATTTTGGGCCTTTTCAGTGGCGTTTCTGTAAAGGAACCCTGCTTTCTAAAAACTAAAATAATAAAGCAAAATAAAATCGGAGGCAGGAAGCAGTTTCCAGCTCTCCCGTGACTCTCGGGCATTGAAAATGAGCAGGGTCTGGCTCAGAGGGGTGTTTTGGGGAGTGATGGGAGAGGAAACACCCTCTAAATTTACTCTTTACTCTTCCCCATGAGGGTGGTGAGGCCCTGGAATGGGTTTTCCAGAGAAGTTGTGGCTGCCCCTGGGTCCCTGGAAGTGTCCAAGGCCAGGTTGGACAGGGCTTGGAGTAACCTGGGCTACTGGAAGGTCTCTGCCCATGGCAGGGGTGGAATGAGATGGGTTTTGAGGTCCCTTCCATCCCAAACTGTCCTACGATTCTAAATTCAAGTTCTAAAAGCTCACATGGACTTGGAAAAAATCACCTTTGTGAACCCCTGAGGCCCTTTAGCTGAAGTTATTTCCAAGCCTTGAGTAATAAAAAGCCTCTGTTGCTGCTGGTCATCAAGATACAATTTTATTTTAACAGCCCAGCAGCTCAAAACCCGGCCCAAATTACATTTTTTGCAATTTAAATGCAAATGAGGATTTAGTGTAAAAGCAACAGAAATGGGTGTTGGAGCCTGAAACTCCTCTTGGGCTTAATGAGACTTTGCATTTTAAGGTATTTCTCACTTCTGCCCTGTCGTTTGTGAGTTCCCAGGGAAAGGGGAACCATAAAGAGCACAGGGTGGGTGTGTGAAATCCAGAATTCCAGCCCCGGGGTGGTGGAGCACCACTCCAGGACCCCTCTCCATCTCCCAGCTCCCCGGGAAATCGGAGCCAGGCACCGACTCCAGCGATTTCACAGCCCAGTTAAACCAGCAGCTGAATAATGCAGCGACCTGTGCCAGCACACGGGAGCTGCCACTCACCTCCCAGCTATTCCCAGGGACTTCTTCAGCCCCAAATCACGTTTTCTACTGCAGAAAACGTCCTTACCCCCTTTTTTTTTCTTTACTTAATCCACCGAATAATGAGCCCTGATGTATCAGGCTTTATTTTTACACGTGTGATTAATTATGATGACGCTGGTTCCTTTGTCTGCAGGTTTAGGTCGATTTTGGAATTGCATTAATAATGCAGATGGCAATGAGTGGATTTGGCTTTCCTGGGGAGGATAGGGGTGAGATCTCCCACCCTCCTCTCTCTGGAGCAGCCAGGGATGCATCCAGGCTCTCGGCCCTGCAGGGACGCTTGTCTTGCAATTCATCATTTAAAAGGGGGGAAAAAAATCATTATGAATAATTCCTAGAGGGTTTTTTTTTTCTCCTTTCAGAGTTACAAATCCTCTCAGTTTGTGCTTTTTTTATTCCCCAAGCAAACAGGACTGGGAGGAAGAAAAGGGGGATTGTGGGAGCACTGGGGCTCCTCTGAGCAGCGATGGAGCCACAACCCCATTCCCTCAGCTCCCAAGGGATGTCCTGAGCTGGGACAGGACATCTTTTTGCCCTGTTGTTACAGGAGATGAACCAGAACTTTAGCAGCTTTGGGAGGGGGCAGAGACACCCACACATCACTTATTTCAGCCCAATTCCCGTCCCCAAGACACCCAACACGCTCCTCTACCAGGAACCACACCAGATAATTACTTATTCCAGTTATCCTGGGATGTACTGGCCAGATTCCAGCCTTAATGACGGGATTCAGGGAGGTGACACAGCCCAGTGCAAGGACCAAACTCTCTCTGTCGCTTGCAGACCCATCATTAAACCCCGACAACAGGCAGCTTGGCCATAATTAAAGCTCGTTTCCTCTTCCAGGCAGGAAAGGGAGAACAAGAAAACAATCCAGTGTCCTCCAAACCCTCCTGAAGACGCAATTCCCTCCTGCCAGATCCTGCAGTACCACTGCATAGGTAGAGTTTTTGCATCCAAAACAGCAACATGTTAAAAAACACAGAAAAAAAATCCCCCACAAACCCCTCAAACAACACCCAAAGTGCTTTTATTCTGGGGTCAGAAGAGCCCTACACCTCCAGGGCTGATCCTCTGGAGAGGCTAAAGCCCCCAAATTCCACTTTCCCACCTTTTGTCTGTAAATTAA